AAGTAGTGCAAGACCTACAAGCTGAAAACTACAAGACATTGCTGAAAGAAATTGAAGAAGACTTAAATAAATGTACTTATTTGTCGAATGAAAGATTCAATATTGTCAAAAATCAATTCTCCTCAAGTTAATTTTTAGACTCAACACAATTCTATCATATCCAACCAGGTTTTTAAAAATTTTACATAAGTTGATAAGCTGATCCTAAAACTTATATGGGAATGCAAAGGACCTAGAAGAGGCTAAGCATCTGAAAAGAATGGACAAAGTTTGAAGATACATCCTTACTCTCAAGGCACATCGTAATGGCACAGCAATCAAGAGAGTGTGAGATTTACATAAAGATAGACAATCAAAGAAAGACAATTGCTAGGTCATAATAGCTATGGTTTCTAAAAGGAAGTAGCAAGTGCTTGTTAACTTTCCCCCACTCCCTCTGGATGCCTCATGTAATTGGTTCCCAAAGTGTGATTTGAGGACTGTAACGTTACTTGGAAGCACTTAGAAAAGCCAATTATTGGCACCCCAATCCCCTAACTACTGAGTCAGAATCTTTGTGGATGAAGTGGATCAATGTGTTTGAGAAGCACTGCCTAGATCTCTTTCTGCTGGAAATCCTCCATAATTTGGGGGACAGGCAAAAAGATTTGGAGATAGGAGCATAATTCAGTGTCATGGAATGAAGAGGGAAGCTGATGGCCTTTGACCATGGAATCCATAAAAATAGACTCTCAATGCTGCCAGGCTGAGATGATGGATAAAAAAAATAAACTAATCTCATTTTTAGTCATCATGCTATTGATGGTAAATAACTGGGCTTCAAGGAGGGCAGATAGTTTTACCCAGCACAGGCGATGGACACATTTTGTTGTTTGGAACTAAGTAGATGATTGAGAAGAATGCAGAGGCTGTAAGGAGAAATCGAGGGATCTGGAATACTTCCTTAAGACTTTTAAATTTTTTTCTCTTTTTCTCTCTCTCCTTTCTCTCTTACACACATACACACACATACAAATTCACACATATGCACACGTACACCCACGGTGAGATTTCATGACACAGGAGACAGGAGGTGGAACTAAGAGTCTTGATGAATTCTGAAGAGCCAGTCTTGAGCATCTACTCTGGGTAGGTATGACCTAGGAACTAGTTTCTTGGGAAATATTTGATTACATTTAGGGAAGTTGAGTAGCTTTGGGAACTACCATCAGAATTTTAGTTCTACCCTTCAATCATCTGAAAAAATATACTGCACTGAATTAAGAAACTTGGCTTAGGATATTCTGATCCTGCTCTCTGGAATTAGAATATAGCTTGTCCCAATAACCAAAGTAATTTCATTTTATGGAAAGGAAGGGAAGGGATAATGTAGAATTAGAAATATAAGAGCACCTGAAGTTACTTGCTGTCTCTATCAGCATCAGCTTTCTTTTCTACCTTCTACTCCTGTTGTGCCCAAGATTGCGAATCCGAGAAACCACCAAGGAGCCGACACCGATGCAAGTGCACGAGGGTTTATTTACAAGCTCGAGCTTGGGTCCAAGTATACCCCACACAGCGGAGCAGGGACTTGGACCCTGAGGTGGGTTTCAGCTTAGTTTTAAGGGCTGGTCTAGGGGACCTCCAGAAGGGGTGGAGCAGTTCCTCAAGTTCTGTTTACATTTTGATGTGGGGCCTTCAAGGGCATTGAGCTCTGTTCTTATTCTAATAGGGGCTTCCTGCCCTTGGCTTGGGCTCTGTTTTTAATTCTAATATGGGGCTTCCTAGGATGTTAAGCTGTAAGCTGTTTTCTTCCTGTAACTGAAGTAAGGTAAAGTTCAGCTCTTATTCACAGGGTCCTGGGATGGCTGTACTTGTGCTAACGCTGAACTTGAAGTGGAATAATTTTCCACTTGAAGAAAAATAATTTTCTTGGCCTCCACACTCCAGATCCAGATCTTAGTTTTTAACCATTGCCCTTTCCTGTGTGATATAATAGTCACAATTACAGTCCCAACCTTTTGGTATTTAATCAAGATAGAATTGATTACCCTTAATTGAAAAAAAAAAAACCACTTAAAATCATGATGCAGATATATAAGCAAGGGCAAGGTCACAACTGTTAGTGGACTTGGCAGACTGTCAGCCTCTTACTAAATACTCCTCACCCTACATTTTTTTTCTGTTGCCCACACAGGTATAATAATTTGTCCTCTGGATACCAGGGTATTCCCAAGAAAGGAATTTGGAAGCTAGATGAGACAGAACATGCAAATCTCTCATTCTAGGGTCTGTTGACTTTTTTCTCTGTATGGAACTAATTTTATAATTCCTGTGGCTCTAAAAGACCGTTTTTCACAATGGCTGCTGATCAGTTTTTATGAGTCAACCTCGACTTGTTGTAACTGCTTGTCCCATTGCTAACAAGCAAGAATTGTATGGTTAAGCTGACCATTGGCCCAAGCAGCATGACTTTCCACACTGGTTGGCATCATCAACAGGCATGGCGAGAAGCTAAGGATACCAAGAGACAGAGTTACAGAGTTTAGGGTAATATTTTATTCTTTGACTTTATCTTTTGACTAAATGGCCTTTAATACAATCCCAGACTGAATATTGTGGTAATTTTCTTGCTGGCTGAGTCCAAAATTGGTCAGAATAGATGTGTCTTCCTTATCTTTCTAGAATTTTAGGTGAAAAATGTCAAAATTTTGTGTATAGATATGTGTAAAGCATTTGAACTGTCCTTGTAGATGATTTTAACCTTTGCTCTATGCCAGGCACATTATATTATACACATCACATTTATTTATTTATAAAAAGATTTAATTTATTTTAGAGAAGGGGAAAAGACAGAAGGAGAAAGAGAGTTCCAAGCCGACTCCTCTCTGAGGGCAGAGCCCCACATGGGGTTCAATCCTACTACCCTGAGATCCTGACCTAAGCCAAAATCAAGAATCCGATATTTAACTGACTGAGCCAACAAGGCACCCCTCTATGTCGCATGCATTTGTTATTATGTTTAGTTTTCACAGAGACTCTGTATAGTGATTATTGCCCCTTTCACCAAGCATAGAGAATTTAAATAATTATCCAAAGTTATGAGATGGCATAAAATTGTTGCAGAGTCAAAACACAAAACATTTTGTGTCTAACTCAAAAGCTTGAGAGTTTTCTACTAAGCCAATTGCTGACTTGAAAGCTCTGAGTTGTCTTCTCCGGTTCTATGGTATAAATGTAATAGTTTTAGAGATTCAGGTGAACAAAAGTCCTTCTTTCTTGTTTATACTTTGTAGTCGTTGGTTAATTGTGGAAATAAACTTTCTTCTTCATGGTCATGGTCTTGAAGGAACTGGGGTTAATCCGAAGGAAATCAGGTGGTGAAACATACATTTATTTATCCTGATTCCAGAAGTATTTGAAGAATAACAAAAAGCAAATATCCTAAAATTCCCTAATAAACATGATTGTCCATCCATCTTATGAACTCTAACCATATCTTCTGCTTGTATCTCTTTAGCAGAACCTGTCAATTTATATCTTGTGTTATTGTTTCCAGTATTTGTCTGGTTCCATTATGGTAATCTTGAAAAGAAAGACTGTCTGGATCAGGGTTCTCCAGAGAAACAGACCAGTAGGTTATCTCTCTCTCTCTCTCTCTCTCTCTCTCTCTCTCATTTATCATCTACTGAGAGATTTATTAAAAGGAATTTAATTGATGTACTGTGTTATTTTATATATTTTATGTTTAATCTTTTAAAAAGTATTTTCTTATTTATTTATTATAAAAATATATATAATATACATCCATATAATGTATAATGATTCAGCTGCATTTAGGATGTGAATTAACACACATTCCACATTCTATGTGAACTATTTTAATAAAATTATAGACCACATACAAATTACTTACAGTCTGAATCTTATCATGTATCATAAACTGAGTCTGTAGGGAAAATGATCAGAATGGGTAGATGGGTGGTCACAATTCTTATAAACTCATGAGGACACCTGCACATAGAATTCAGAATTGCTGTTCCTTAACTGATGATGATGTTAACAAAGATCCCTAGTTGGGTAGTAAATCCTACAGAATACAATTTTTCCTAAACAGCTAAAGAGCAGAAAAAAGAATGATTCATTCTAGTTAATGTTTGCTTTTTCTTTTATTTCCTTCTCCTGTTTATTTTTCCTTTGAAACAAAAATGAATGAAATCATTTCATCCTTCCTGGTGCTGTTACTATTTTGTCAGGAAGGTAGTTCTTCCAATTTGAGGAAACTACCAATTCCTTCCTAAGCCACTCTCCTCATTTTCTTTTTCTCTGCCCCTGTCTTCTGCTGCAGCTTTTGACTTACAGTTCAGCCACCATCCCTCCCTGTATGCTGCCCCACACTGCCTTTGTTCTTTAGAAGACACTCATTAACATTTGCTAATGTATGCTAATAAAAAGTAATTAGCATCTTCTGTGCAGCCTGGGAAGGAAGGATGAAGACCACACCGAGTTCAGCCAGCCTTGCTTCCTGCTTCTTTAGGCTCCAGAAACAATCTGCTTTCAGTGGCTGCTTTCAGTGGCTACACAATTCTTTAGTGCTTTTTGTTTGTTTGTTTCATGTTGTTTGTTTATCCATGAATCTTGACAAGCATTCTTCTTCTTGACTTGGAATATTGCATAAATACTTGGGGTGGGGGGTGGGGAAAGATTCCTTTTTGTTCTAAGCAATCCAAGGATGTAAGTAGAGCTGCCAAGGGTTTACAACACATTATTTTCATCTGGTTGTTATTTTGGTATCCTATTACTATAAAAGATTATAGCCACAAAAACTCACACAAGAGAATGTATTTTCGTTTCAGCACACTAATTTACAGTGGTTGCTCTTTATGGTGGTAATTGAAATGTGAGAACACACACTGAATATATATGTTATGACAGCATGGTTAAATAAGAAATGTCCCCTCCCCCAGAATATTCTAAATGCAAAGAAAAAGCAAGACTCGCTATTTAATTTTTTTGTAACCATGGAGAGCTCTAAATGCCGTGGTAAACAGCTATTTATTGACTATGAATTGTTAAAAAAATAAGCCAACCCCTCACACCAGATAGAATAAGAGCTGTTTTTGTTTTTCCGTAGATCAGTGGTGTCATAAAATATCTAATTACAGTTTCTCACAAATACTCCAGTATATAATTCACTATTTGAAGAACTATACTTTAGCATTTCATATTTGCTCTTCCAGCTCAAGGGTGGTAGAATTTGGAAACATTCCAGCTACCCACTCCACTCAGCTTGTGTTTAATTTTAATTTAATGTACAATAAAAACAGAAGGAAAAAGTGCAAAAAAAATTGGTGTGCATCCCCTTCCCCTCCTTCTTATGGATATAAAAAAAGATTATTACCATTGTAAATGGATAGAAGGGGGATTTTTATTTTGAGTGAATCTCCTTTTTTTTTCCACCTCTCTGTTCTCAGGGTTAGCCATTCTCACTCCAGGACCTCATAATAAAATGTGTTTCTCTACAGAATTCATCCTGTTCTAGTTGGCAACTACAATATTTTATATTGCGGGGTTTTTTTTAAGATTTTTATTTATTTATTCATGAAAGACACAGAAAGGGAGAGAGAGGCAGAGACACAGGCAGAGGGAGAAGCCATGTAGGGAGCCAGATGTGGGACTTGATCCCAGGACCCCAGGATCACGCCCTGGGCCGAAGGCAGGTGCTAAACCACTGAGCCACCCAGGGATCTCTCTATTGCATTTTTTAATAAAGCAAACATCAGTAGCTATTTATTCCCTACTTCTTAAGGGCTTCATAGTCTCAAAAAGTAAATGTAATTTATTTCCTTTCTTAGAACGAAAAATACTGGAGGATGACAGTAACTGTAGCAGTTGAATTTCTTGCCCATTCCCTTCTCTAAGGTGGCTGAGTCTCACCAAAAGTCACAATTATTATTATTTTTATAATTTTACAAAACACAATTTAGAATAACTATTTAGTGTCTTCAAGATATTAAAATGATTGTAAATATGACCAATCTTTTGGCATTTATTTTAAAAGTTTTCACTAGGGTGGTTTTGAATCTATGTGTTCCGTGGTTCATTTTCTCAATGGTCTTAAGGAAGATAAGAAGGGTGCTGGCATCTGCCGAAAGATTATCAGCACCAGTTTGTCAAATTAAACCTTTCCCCCAGATACCTTGATGATTTTCAAATGTAATGATCTCATTTTGTTTTTTCCCACTCCAAGGACTTTGTAAATGTCTTATAGTTTATAGGTTTATTAAGGTATTTGAATGATATAAGAAATAAATAAGTCTTCTCTTTACTCTATGGCTTCCAAATATTGTGCTTAGCACCATCACTTGAAGGATTTGGAATAGTTATAAACAAACGTCCAGAGCATCTTCTTGTCCTTCCCTAAAAGTAAAAAAATACAGGGAGCTGCTGATTTAAACTGAATCTGATTTCATGTCTTGGGTAAGTCCCATTCTTGAGGAAGAAGAATCACATTCCAACATTTTTGTTCAATTTTGCAGATGGTGCCTTCTGTTCCTTACTTTGCACTCAATAGCTGAATGGGAGCAGGATACTGGGGTGTTCTCTGTAGTGTAGAGGAAACCTCAATGTGGTTTGGTGACGATCTAGCACCCAAGTGTCTCACTGGTGGGAAATTCTTCCTTATGCCTAACTTTACTCATTCCTTTCAAAATTTGGGCTGGTTTACCTTCTGTTTGGTTTTTACAAAAGCAAAATATCTAAAGGTTGTTCTTGGCTTTAACTTATACACAGCTTATATTTATTTACATACATACATATAATTATCTCCATATCATAATTGCACCACCATCATCATCATTGTTACTATAACAAAAAAATTAGCAATTTGAGCAGCTACTGAGTGGCCATCAGACCTAGAAATTTCAGAGCGTAAAATTTACAGTGTCTATTATAAGGAAGCTATATTTAAAGAGATTTTTAAAAATCCTAGCTTACTTTTCATAGTTTCACTGGTCAGTTTTCTCTCTTGAAAAAGAGATTTCCTGTTTTTGGTAAGGGGATCAAAACGCTTCTTCCTTACAGAACAAGGCAAGCTTTACTTTGGAATATACTCTCTTAAGAAAAGAGATACCTTTATTTTGTTCATATTTTCTAGCTCTTTTACTTTCACATTCTTGTTAGAAAAGAATATTATTGAAGAAATAACTAAAGACAGTCTAGATTTTGTTAACTTGAGGTGTTTCTAAAAGAGGAAATATCATTTAGTATATGAATTTAGAACTGATAACATTTCATATTTATAATATTTATTTACATGAAAATAAAAATACAAATATGTTTATAGACAGAGTAAAGACAAAATGCAGTGTTTTACTTTTCATTTATACTTTTTTTCCCTCTTATTTACTGTAATCTCACCTCATTTTTGCCCCTTTACCTCCCTTTCTTTGCTGTATTCTTCCCTTCTTCTCCGTACTCTTCCCCATTTTTCTTTTTCTGTCTTGTTCCTTCACCACCCATTAGTACCATACCTTTGAACTACTATACGGTGGACACTATATATAAGCAAGGGGTATATTAGTAAGTTGCCCCATCTTTTAACAAAGTCTCAGTCAGAGACACATACCCCAGTAACAAAACCAAAAGCCACATCAATGCAATAAAAGAATTCAGAATCTAATATGTGTTGGATGTGTAACATTATCTTTTTATAACCTACATCATCAATTTATCATTCTCTTTTGCCATCAGCATGTAAGATGGCTAGCATAACTAGTGGTCCTATTCCTCACTGACCATTCTCTTGTAAAGCCATTGAAATTCAGGCTTTTCCTTATAACACTTTGCTAAATCTATGCTTGCCAAAGTCGTCATTGACTTCCATACTGCAAAATCCAATGGTCAATTTTCAGTTCTCGTTATACTTGAGTTATAAGCCTACGACACATTCCTTGTTTTCCTCCTACTCCATTGATTGTTCATTTTCAGTGTCTTTGATTGGTTTTTCTTCTTCTCCCTGTCCTCTCAATTTTGGAGTTTTCTGTTCTGTTTTTATTCATTTACCTGGTGGTCTCACTTGGTTCTATGGCTTTAAATAGCATCAATATGCTAATAATTCCCAAATGTATATTTCCAGGCCAGACTTTTCTTCCAAACTCCAGACTCCAATATCCAATTGCCTACTCAAGTTAACCATGGGTGTCTAATAGGCAACTCAACTCCAACATTTCATATTAAACTCCCTATCTTCAGCTCCTCCCACCTATTCTTCCTATAGACTTTTCATCTCTTTTTATTTTGACTCTATCTATCTAGGTGCCTGCCAAGGATGAAAACCTTCTGATTGTCTTGATTCTTCTCTTCCTCTCACATTTCACATCATACCCATCACATTCCACATCACACATCATACTGATGGCATGGGTCCTTCAGCTAAGATTCAGAAATGACCTTGTTACAGCAAAGATGAATATCACTTCCAGTGCAGTTTAGCCTGAGGAGACATGTACCTCATGTATATGGGAAGGACCCATGTTGACATTTCCTCGCACATAAAACAAAAACAAAAACAAAAACAAAACAAAACAAAACAAAAAACCCCTAAAAGGAAACACACACAAAAAGCCTCATGAATGTAACTAATACATTGCTGTTACAACCCAGGTAAGCTGGCTAAGACACTCCTATCTAATCTTGATCTCACTTATGAAGTCATTCTTTTGCATAAAATAGTAAGACTCCTTAAAGACTCCTCATGTTTTCTTTTAGAACCTACAAACTCCCTGCCCAGAGCATTTTGCTCTGTACTCCCTTGTGAGTGTACCATAAATGCTAATTGGATAAACGAGCTCTCAGTTTCCAGAGTAATCACCGAGTGCTCCAAACAGCTCTTCAAGAGCTGAACGTGGGTTAGAGGAACAGGCAACACTACTTACTTTCAGTGGCATAGATTAAAAAAGAAAGCCTGGAACAACATCCCCTTCTCCAAACGATTCCAATGCCTCTAAAATGTGACATTTTGCTGTTGTTTCCTTTTACTGTTTTTAATTACTGGGTCTATTTGCATGAAATGAGGATCTGGGTTGCCTAGGCGTTCATCTGCTCTGACTGCATTTTCCTCTCTTAAATAGCGTACTTCAGTGAAGCTTTGCTTGTGCCTCCAACATTTTGACAGGACCTCCCCCTCCTCTCCTTTCACCATCCTCCCATAGCCCCCCAGGAGAGAGGTTATTTTTAAAGTACATAATCAATAGGCTTTGGGAAGCAGCCAAAGCATGCGGGGGTCATACGATCGGGGATAAGCTACTAGGGATTGCTGAGAAAAGGAATGGCAACACGCCATGCCAAAAATTGTATGAGGAGGGAGAGACAGTCTGTAGCTCCCATTTTAGTGCTCTGAGATATTCTTTTGCACAAGGTTTGGTGTTGGAGGGGCTTCTTAGCTTGGTTCTTTAGTCTCACTTTGAGTTGCAGGAGATCCAGACTACCACTGATAGTTGCTTTTCCAGCCAAATAATGTTCCATTAAAATCAGAGTCGGTCTGAGGCTCTTGCAGGCATCTTCCATCTGGTCACAGTGCTGTTGTTTCGTTCTTGATACTGATGATGCCTCTGCTGAGGGTTTGAGTCAAGAACAACCCAATGATTATCACCATAACTACGAAAACAACTATTTCATCGCCACTGCCAAGGGGATGTCATTGAATAAAGAAGGCACCTAATGAGAATGTGCAGATGATCACGCACAGATGAATATCACTCTCGGAGAGTCAGCTCAAGAGGAGACTAGGGGCTATTTCTGCAGTACTCTCCATTACATCACTTAGAAACCATAGCTCTTTTTTTTAGTTCTTTACTTGCCACCACAGAGATATCTCCTCTGATGGATTTTTAGGTTTTATTTAATAGCCATTTGTTATTACCCTTCCTGTACTCTAGGAGATGATCCATGATTGCAGCCCTGCTTTTTCTCCTCCACTGACTATCAGAAGAAATGGATGTGTTGCTCATCTCCTTGGCTTGGGACATTTCATTCTGCTGTTTTTATTTAATATATAATCCTTCCTAAAGATTTGCTTATATTTTTGTTCCTTTTTCTCTGTTTCATTTAGTCACATCCAGTGAGTTGTTATTATAAATCAGCATAATATTTTGTGTGGATTTTGCTTTGGCTATGATGTTGCAGAATAGGCTGTGTGTCAGTCTTTGCTGTTTGTCCCTAGCTGTTCTTTTTTTTTTTGCTGTTCTTATATTATACACACAGAACGGACTCTGTTCCAAGGCTGCCTTCCTACGAAGTGTCTTCCTTCTTTGACCGAAGAAGCTTGGTGGTGATGATTAATTACAAATAAAAGACCAAGACCGATTGTTAAATGTAAAACATCTTCTTAGAAGTGTCTGCCTCACTGCTGTGGACTCTCAGTAGTGACAAAGATCTTTGTCCTGTGCAGATCCAGTTACAGCCAGTAACAGAAGGCACATGTCCACTCTGAACAAAAGAACACTTATTTTCACATTCCGTGGCTGACGTTGAGTGATGACATTTTTGCATATCCTAAAAATTTTTATGCAGATGCTGTTTAAAGGCAAAATGTGCTTTTACAATAATCTCCTTTGTGAATGGAATTTAAACTCTTGGCATGTGTTCCGTTTTCAATGTGCTTGTCAAGTTCTGAAAAATAACCTTTGACGGTACGCGAGCAGAAACAAAACGGAGGTTGTTTCCTCTGTTTGCCGCAATGTTGTTTTGTCATCTTTACTCTCTCAGACTCAGGCTCATCTGACTTAAAAATATGATACACTTATGATTTTATAAGCTAGTTATGGGACTACAGTTTTAAAGAAATAGTCGATTCTCATTTTTACCTGAGCAAGTTGTAGAGCTTTGTCTCTGGCTGATACCTGTAATGAATGGACAGTAGATGACAAGTGTAAAAGTTAGTTTATTTTCACATATTATTGGACAACTACAATTTTTTTTAAACCGTTTGATGCCTTTGCAAAAATAGATCAAAACTAAAAAGAAGATGCTGTCTTGAGTATGGAGTGAGGAATACACAGAAGAAATGTTCTTTTTTTGGGGGGAAGAACTACAAAATCACGTGTTTCCCTACAGTCAAAGTAAATCATATATTGGAAAATTTAGGCTATCTCAATAGACAACCCCAGGAATCCTTGAAATAGGAAATATCAGCCTTTCGACATTTTTTTCAAAGGCTCTTTGACACTGGTAACTGGTTAGAATGAAATGTTCTCTATTTTAATAAATTAACTTGGTTCTAATAACCACATTGTTTGTGCATGTGGATATAGCTTTACTAGCAACTCAATTTATCACGGAATGCAATGACCCAGCAAACCCCAAGTCTACTCATTGCAACATAGAATTTATTTTGGTAGCAGTTATATTCAATTGAACCGACAGGCTTATAATTGATATGTTTTGCAAGCCTTTGAAGGCAATGAAGCAGAGAAGTCTTTGCATAACACTGTCTAGGATGCTGTGACTATATTTCTTTAATAAACAATGCTCTTTTTGACAAGCTCATTGAAAAATATTTGTATTAACTGCACAGAAAACTTTATGATGAAAATAATAACAGGAAAAACCTGTTACTAGTTGCCATGCCATCATTTAAAGAACTGCTGTATTTTTCTTTTCTTCAACAGTACAAATTCAAGTGGAGGAAGAAGAGGATGACACAGAAGAAAGTTCAAGTAAGTGGGGATGGACATGGAATGTGTTTCCAGTGAAATCGCAGTGAATTCAGGGGACTTGACCTTTTACCTTGTGGGATTATGCTCCCACATGTAAGCACATGCTACCCCACATGCGGGTGACTTTTGATGGTCTCACCAAAGAGATCAAGTCCAGCAAATTGGATCTCCACTCTAGATTCTATTCAATGTAGAATTCTACATTCTATCAAATGTAGAAGTTACTCATGATCAAGTAGATGGTAGCCCACAAAAATTTGCTTTTTAAAATTTCTCTACTATTTTCCCTGTTAAAGCCTTTGTCCTGAAAGCTCTTCTCTAGGGCTGAATCTACTACAATAGAACAGATTGGCCATTTTGACTGAATTGATCAGGTGGTTCAATTAAAATGAATAATTACATTCTTTTGCACTGAATGCATGGGTATTTTGTTGGAATTGCTCTGTTGTTTTTACTTTGTGAAGGTTTAGCTTAAGAGCTTGGATTGTGATCCCTTGCATGCAGAGCACTCATGGACTGGAGCATGGGAAAGATCATTCATGAGATGAGCAAAAGCTCTAAATTTACTAAAATGGAAAGAAAGAGCAGTATCTCAAGAAGAGTTCAATTCGAGGATCCATTAACATTATCAGTGTAATAACTTGAGTACAATATGGCAGCCAGGGAATGTTCACAATGCCAGTTGTTTTCAGGCTTTCAGGGCATTTTACATGCAAACAGCTCAGAGTCTCACATAGACAGACTCTGCATGTCACAGCTTGAGTACTGTAGGGGAGGAAAAATAATTTTCCCTCTAGCCCTTCTGAGTAGTTAGCTGAGACCTCTGTAATATAAGATAGTTTAATAAGAGAAAAAACAAACAGAAGCTTATTAATGTGTATTCCTCATATATACATGAGAGATACTCAGGAAAAAGTAACTCTCTGAGGTGGCTTAGAATTTAGACTTAAATACTATCTTAATAAGGAAAAAAGAGGGTGTGTATGTAGGCTTTTAGGAGAGAATAAATAATTTTTTTTAGGAAAAGTGAGTAGGCCCTTCAAAGAATAAATGGGACATTTGATTGTGACAAAGTTTGTCTGGGTATGGTATTGACTTCCAGTGTCTTCCTTTGTGATGAGTCAATATTCCCTAAGGGTAAATTCTTGGTAAGGGGATTTAGGACAATTCAGTACCTTTTGGAGGATCTGTGTTTGGGCAGATGTAGGGAGTTCAGGAGAAACTTTGCATTCGCAGCTTTTTTGTGCCTATAGCTCAGTACAATCAATATACCAAAGTAGCACAGTTTAGGGCGGGCATGTCCTGAGCTCCTGCAGTCCCACTTTGAAGTGGCATATTCTGCTACCCTTCCATATTGAATGAAGACCATTTTAAATGGTAACATTGTATGTAAATCTGCAGTTAGTAGGCAACTGTAAAATATTGGTTATTTGCTTTAGAATTTGGATTTTTGAAAATTAGTTAAGGCAGTAAAAATAGCCTTTTTGTTCCCAATTGGTAAAAATGAAAGTTTAATAGTTTAGTCTTAATACAAAATATACTAAAATGCAGAGTACTTTGTCACCTGGGTGGCTCAGTTGGTTAAGTGTCTGCCTTCGGCTCAGGTCATGATCTTGGGGTCCTGGGTTTCCCAGGACCTACATTGGGTTTCCTGTTTCTCCCTCTCCCTATGCTGTTTCCCCTGTTTGTGCTATCTGTCAAATAAATAAATAAAATCTTAATAAATAAATAAATAAAATGAAGAGTACTAAGTGGCTGCTTGAGTTCTTGAGTTATTTGTGGGAAAATTGTTTTTCAATCCTTCTCAAGGTCTTGTCCTTTCTATAAATAGTGACTAACGTGACTAATAAAGACTGGGCAAATTTTCAGAATGTCAGAATGGGATTCACATTACATACAACATTTGCCACATATTTAACAAATGGAAAATTATTCTTGGTTTTTATGACAATGTATGGTTCTCAAAGCCTAATTTGAAAGTTATCCTTCAGTTTTTCTCTGCTAGTCAAACTTTAGTACTATAGGTAATACTTAGATCTCAGATTTGAAATATCAGTAAAAATGTTTCAGTAAGTAATTTTAAAAGATAATTAGGGGTACCTGGGTGGCTCAGTTGATTAAACCTCTGACTATTGATTTTGGCTTAGGTCAGAATCTCAGGGTTGTGAGATTGAGCCCAGGTGGGGCTCTGCACTGGCCATGGAATCTGCTTAAGATTCTCTCTCTACCTCTGCCTCTCCTCTTGCTAAAAAAATAAAAGTGAGGGACACCTGGGTGCCTCAGCAGTTGAGCACCTGCCCCTGGCTCAGGGCATGATCCGTGGTCTCAGGATCAGTCCTACATCAGGCTCCCTGCCTGGAGCCCGCTTTTCACTCTGCCTATATCTCTGCCTTTCTCTCTCTGTGTCTTTCATGAATAAATAAATAAAATCTTTATTTTTTTATTTTTTTATTGGAGTTCAATTTGCCAACATTTAGCATAATACCCAATGCTCCTCCTGCAAAGTGCCCCCATCAGCGCCCATCACCCAGTCACCCCAACCCCCCGTTCACCTCCCTTTCCACTACCCCTTGTTCATTTCCCAGAGTTAGGTGTCTCTCATGTTTTGTCACCCTCACTGATATTTTCACTCATTTTCTCTCCTTTCCCTTTATTCCCTGTCAGTAATTTTTATATTCCCCAAATGAATGAGAACATATGTTTGTCCTTCTCCAATGGACTTATTTCACTCAGCATAATACCCTCCAGTTCCATCCACGTCGAAGCAAATGGTGGGTATTTGTCGTTTCTAATGGCTGAGGAATATTCCATTGTATACATGGACCACATCTTCTTTATCCATTCATCTTTCGATGGACACCGAGGATCCTCCCACAGTTTGGCTATTGTGGACATTGCTGCTAGAAACATCGGGGTGCAGGTATCCAGCATTTCACTGCATCTGTATCTTTGGGGTAAATCCCCAGCAGTGCAATTGCTGGGTCCTAGGGCAGATCTATTTTTAACTCTTTGAGGAACCTCCACACAGTTTTCCAGAGTGGCTGCACCAGTTCACATTCCCACCAACAGTGCAAGAGGGTTCTCCTTTCTCCATACCCTCTCCAACACTTGCTGTTTCCTGTCATGCTAATTTTCACCATTCTTACTGGTGTGTGGTGGTATTTCACTGTGGTTTTGATTTGTATTTTCCTGATGGCCAGTGATGCAGAGCATTTTCTCATGGTGCTTGTTGGCCATGTCTATGTCTTCCTCTGTGAGATTTCTGTTCATGTCTTTTGCCCCTTTCATGATTGGATTGTTTGTTTCTTTGCTGTTGAGTTTAATTAAGTTCTTTGTAGATCTTGGATACTAGCCCTTTATCTGATACATCATTTGCAAATATCTTCTCCCATTCTGTAGGTTGTCTTTAGTTTTGTTGACTGTTTCTTTTGCTGTGCAGAAGCTTTTTATCTTGATTAAGTCCCAGTAATTCATTTTTGCTTTTGTTTCTCTTGCCTTCACGGATGTATCTTGCAAGAAGTTGCTGTGGCCAAGTTCAAAAAGGGTGTTGCCTGTGTTTTCCTCTAGGATTTTGATGGATTCTTGTCTCACATTTAGATCTTTCATCCATTTTGAGTTTATCTTTGTGTATGGTGTAAGAGAATGGTCTAGTTTCATTCTTCTGTATATGGATGTCCAATTTTCCCAGCACCATTTATTGAAGGGACTGCCTTTTTCCCAGTGGATAGTCTTTCCTACTTTGTAGAATATTAGTTGACCATAAAGTTGAGGGTCCACTTCTGGATTCTCTGTTCTGTTCCATTGATCTATTTGTCTGTTTTTGTGCCAGTACCACACTGTCTTGACGATTACAGCTTTGTAATACAACCTGAAATCTGGCATTGTGATGCCCCCAGCTATGGTTTTCTTTTGTAATATTCCCCTGGCTATTCGGGGTTTTTTCTGATTCCACACAAATCTTAAGATGATTTGTTTCAACACTCTGAAGAAAGTCCATGGGATTTTGATAGGGAATGCATTGAATGTGTACATTGCCCTGGATAGCATTGACATTTTCCAATATTAATTCTTCCAATCCATGAGCATGGAACATTTTTCCATCTCTTTGTGTCTTCCTCAATTTCTTTCAGAAGCGTTCTGTAGTTTTTAGGGTATAGATCCTTTACCTCTTTGGTTAGATTTATTCCTAGTAATCTTATGCTTTTGGGTGCAATTGTAAATGGGATTGACTCCTTAATTTCTCTTTCTTCAGTCTCATTGTTAGTGTATAGAAATGACACTTATTTTCCCAGCACCATTTATTGAAGAGACTGTCCTTCTTCCAGTGGATCGTCTTTCCTCCTTTATCGTATATTAGTTGACCATAAAGTTCAGGGTCCAGTTCTGGGTTCTCTATTCTGTTCCATTGATCTATGTGTCTGTTTTTGTGCCAGTACCACACTGTCTTGATGACCACAGCTTTGTAGTACAACCTGAAATCTGGCATTTTGATGCCCCCAGATATGGTTTTCTTTTTTAAAATTCCACAATAGCCAAACTGTGGAAGGAGCCTCGGTGTCCATGGAAAGATGAATGGATAAAGAAGATGTGATTTATGTACACAATGGAATATTACTCAGCCATTAGAAACGACAAATACCCACCATTTGCTTCAACGTGGATGGAACTGGAGGGTATTATGCTGAGTGAAGTAAGTCAATCGGAGAAGGACAAACAGTGTATGTTCTCATTCATTTGGGGAATATGAATAATAGTGAAAGGGAATATAAGGGAAGGGAGAAGAAATGTGTGGGAAATATCAGAAAGGGAGACAGAACATAAAGACTCCTAACTCTGGGAAATGAACTAGGGGTGGTGGAAGGGGAGGAGGGCAGGGGGTGGGGGTGAATGGGTGACGGGCACTGAGGGGGACACTTGACGGGATGAGCACTGGGTGTTATTCTGTATGTTGGTAAATTGAACACCAATAAAAATTAATTTATTAAAAAAAAGAAATGACA